GATAAAGCTCAAAAGAGCTATTGGTTGTAAGAGGGCAGGCTTTCCTTTCTTCATGGAAAGAAATACTGAGGTTATCATCTTTCCTCAAGCTTAGTGGAAAGTGAGAGTGAAAAAAAGGTTCACATAAAGTCCTTGAACTAGAGAGACAGCTTACTTATCCTGGTGCGTCTGCACTTTACAGGTACAGAGTCCAGCACAAGATCAGGTACAGGATCAGGTAAATGACCAGGTAAATGATCAGTTACAGGATCGGTTATAGGATCACGTGCAGGATCCCCTAAATGCTGGCTGACTTTTTGATAGACACTGTGGGAACAGGTACTCCAACAGGCTTTGTAACTTTGTGTGAGGTTTGCAGACCAACTTTTGCTGGTGACTGTCTCAGTGGTTTGAGAAAATGCCTGTTGCGATGAATGGTTTCACTACCAGTCTTCACCAGGTAAGACCTGTTGCACAGTTGCTTGATAAGAGTTCCTGCTTGCCAGCTCTTGCTTCTTTGTAGTGGTGCTACTCTGACCTCTTGACCAACTTCAAGTGGTGGCAACAGCTTTGCTGTTCAGTCACGATAACTCTTTACTTTCTGCCTTTTTTGCTTGATTTGATCCTCCACACCTTCCATGACACCGGGTCGAAGTAGAGTTGAGGCTGTTGGCATGAGTGTCTTCGTTCTTTGAGACATTGAGTCTCTGTGCCGGGTTAGATCCTATGGTTTCCAGAGGTGCGTTTCTACATTCAAGTAAAGCTAGCCAAGGATCTCTCTCATCTCAGAATCCTTTCTTGAACAGACTCTTTGTGACTTTCACTGCAGATTCTGCTATCCCATTTGACTTGTGATGACATTTGACATTATCTGAAATGAGAACGTCAGGGATTCCGTGTCTGCTGAATTGTTCCTTTAGAAACTGAATGATGGTCAGTGAGGTTGTGTCACTGAGCTCTTTGACTTCCACAAAGTCGGAATAATAATCCACTAGGACTAGGTCTTACTATGCTAATAGCATGGGCGAGTTGAGTTTTTACCGCTCTGTTTTTTTTGTCCTGTTGACCCTAACGCATTGGAATTTTGGTTTTTTAAACCACAGTGACCTATGTCTAAACATCAAAGGCACAGTTTGGGATGCTTTTATTTCTGGAAATCAAAGTAATTGGCCCGGAAATTAAGATTTATCCTTCACATTGCATGCGCTTTGCCCTCTTCGTTTTTGCATAATCAAGAATGCAAGGCAATGGTTTCTGGACGACCTAACGCCTCGGAACAATGGCATCTACTCCGTGATTGTTGAAGTGAATTATTCACTGCCGGCTGGAAATATTTGCCTCTCCCTAAGTTTTCTTCATTGTCGCTTGGACGACACAAATTGTACTGCTAACTACAACCTAGTGGTTTTGTTGTGGACCCTGGATGCTTGATTTCCACCTATCTTTACATTGAAATTTCTTTGCTATTTCCATTGCCAATATTACTTGAATTCGAGTGCAACTTGCCAGCTCCTCCTTGTGGGTGGTGATATTTCTCGTAATCCTGGCCCCATCAAACAGTCAGCAAATGGAAATAAAACCGAAGACACGAACAGAGTAGGGCTAACCATTCATGTAAAATGTAGAGAAAGAAATGTTTAAACTGTGAAAAGACAATACGGTGCAATCAAAAGCAAATTTCCTGCTGCATCTGCTTTAGTCTCTACCACATGAAATGTGTCGGTGTTGCGGAGCCATCTCATACTGACTGGTCATGCTCCAATTTTCTTATGTTACACCTACCATTTTTCAAATGTTCTACCGAAGAGATACTGGATAATGATTATGGACATCAATCGCTGAGACTCCAAGTCAATCCCCTGAGATTTTCGGATCCTTCAGAGATTGCTGCTACTTTGCGAAACAGACTGTCTAATCTTCGAGCTATGCCATTGGACACTCAATCAGTGGTCTCCACCTTCAATGAGTTCCTGCTCACAGTAAATAACTATACACTGGATATCATCACCCTTAGTGAAACATAGTTTAAGGACAATCCATTCTTAATGGAATATGTCCCCATTCCTGGATTTAACACCAAATTCTGCAGTCGAGACACCATAAGAGGTGGAGGAGTCGGCGCTTACATAAAGGACACAATCAAATACAAGCTTAGGCGTGATATAGAGAATCTTCTCTAGAGCTAGAACATTTATGGATAGAAGTTCCCGGTAGAAACAAGCATAGTAAAGCCCTGGTGGGGGTAATTTACAGATTGTGCTGTATACTTGATTATGCAAGCTGGTTTGAAAGCTTTAAAAATACTCTTAACAGTAACATGGGACAGAATGCTAATCATCACAGGAGATACCAACTTTGACCTGCTAAAATCGGAAGACAATCTTGTTAAACAATACAGCGGCATCCTTGATGTATTCGGCCCGCATCAAGTCATCAAGCAACCTACTCACGTCACAAGACTTTCAAGAACACTCATTGATCATCTGATAACCAACCAACCGATGCAAGTCACTGCTTTTGGTATCATCCCTTGTTCGATTGTCAGCAACCACGACAGCTTGTATGCCTGCATCAATGTGCGCGTCCCCCATTTTGAGCCACGTTATAAATTCATACGGGATACCAAGAGTCTGGGTGAGCAGCTATTTATTGACAATTTCTCCAAGTTACCACTGTCTGTAACACCTTTTTTAGACGACCCTGATGATCAACTTGACTCCTTAAATCTCTTGCTTGCTGGGTGTCCAAGAGAAATGCACCACTACAGAAAGTGAAAGTGACGCATCCTCTTGCACCGTGGATGAAGACGCCGCATATAAAAGAGCTGCAACAAGAGATGAACACCCTCAGACACGCAGCTCACCTTCCAAATGCTCACAGCTCTACATGGAACTCTTTCTGCTCAGTACAAAATAGGCTCACACAGGCCATACGCTCTGCACGCAAGTCATTTATAGAAAAGGCCTTATTGTCAAACAAATCATGTGAAATCTGGTGCCTGATTCAGCATATCCTCAAGCCAAGCCCTAAGCCCCTTTGTATAGACCCTGACAAGCTAAATGTACACTTCTCCACCACTGCGCAGCGAACTATTGGAGCCCCAGCTACATCATTCGACACTCTTGCTGACATCATTGATGGTCTTCCTGAGATTCCAGACAATATAAGCACTTTACCATCCAGCCAGTTGCCCAGAGAGGAGTTCTGGAGTGCATTAAATCCCTGTGCTCAGACTCTTCTGCTGGTGCTGACACTCCTGGCAAGATTTGTGAAACTGTAGCTGAACATCTCGCAGATCCGCTTACGCAAATCATAAACAACTGCATAAAGTGATCATATTTTCCTACAAAATGGAAAATGGCAAGAGTCTCTCCTATTCCTAAAGTGGTCAACCCAACCTTGATGAATGAACTGCAGCCTATCTTGATACTTCTGGTTTTATCCAAAGTATTTGAGAAAGCTGTTGGAATACAAATGATGTCATTTGTTGAGAGGGCCTCCCTTTTGCATGAGGGTCTCTCAAGCTTCCGGAAGGGTTACTCAAGAACAACTGCACTCCTGGGCATGAGAGATGATATCCAGAAAGCTATGGATAAAGGGGAAGTTACCCTTATGGTTATAGCAGATTTTAGCAAGGCATTTGACATTATTTGTTTCAGAACTAACTTACTAAAGCTCCACAAATTAGGGTTTACCAAGCCCTCTCTGAAGTGGCTTCTACGCTACTTATGCGACCGCCGTCAATTCATACAGATTGACGACAAATCTTCGTCTTGCCATACAATCGCTTTCAGGATTCCCCAAGGATCTATACTGGGACCTATGATTTTTAATCTGTACGTTTCTGACTTTAAATACATCATCCTTGGATCTACAAAATGCTCACAGTACGCTGACAATACGACCCTATACCATCATACCCCAGTGCAAGACTTGGCTGGTGGTGTGTCTTTGATGAATAATGCACTCTGCGAACCACAGCTGGTCTAAGGAATCTAATCTAGCTCTTAACCCAGACAAGACAAGGTCTATGGTGTTCTCAACAAGGCAAATGTTTACTCGCCGTAATCTGTCATCATTTCCACTACTGTTGTCTGCTGTAGGAAAGGATCTTGAAAGAGTCAAGAATACCAAGCTACTTGGAGTCCACCTTAAAGAGAAGCTTCTTTGGGATGAAAATGTCAAGAACTTAGCATCATCATGCAATACTACTCTCGCAAGCCTCAGGAAAATCAAACATCCTACTCCTTACAAGCTGCAAAAGCACTTTGTGGAAAGTCCTATTCTCTCCAGGCTAGACTATTGTGATATAGTCTTGTTCCCACTACTGACTTCTTTAATATCGCTTGCAGTGGTTTATGATCAGATTCTATGATAATCTTCTCTCCTTGGGCTAGGTACTGTTTAAGAGTAAATGTCAGTAAAAATCAAGGAAAATTCAAAAAACGTGGCCACGGTCAAAAAATCGATTTCGCTCATACTTTGTCAGTTTGAAGGCTTAGGTAAGTAACTGAAGGATATGAGGTTAGTTTTTTGAAATATTCCATATAACGGCAGAAAACCACGAAAAACGGTCACCCTACCGGAAGCTCGGATTTCACCTAGCGGAAACTCGAAATTTTACACTTTTCAGCTTCTCGCTACACAGACGTTTACATAGCTGTGAATCTTTCTTAAGTATAATTGAATACATTGATTCTTCCTTAGTCAAACCAGGGGAATTATTTTTATCTCTGCTTATTTGTGAGCGAACTGAGACCCGATTAAGAAGACACACTTTTCTCATTTACACGAAGGTGTAAAATAATCCAAACTCAGCGACGAAAAAAGCTGACCGGTAGTTCTTCAAATCCTCTGATATTATAACCAAAGCCAGTTCAGTCATTGATTTTTAGGTCTACGGTTTTAAATCTTTAGGATCTAGTAGCACTTTTGTATGAACGCCGATCAAAATTCGATAAAATTCCAATTGAGCGCCTTTGAAATCTACAACTCTACATAACAATGCACTATTGAATAAATTAACTCCTCGGCCAAAGTTTGTACATAAAACATAAGGGTTTTGCTTTTTTAGCGGTTTGAAGCGTTTTAAAAATATATATCAATGTTAAATATTGTCTACACAGGTAAAACAAACTATGAAACACCAAAATTACCACGAGCTGAAATTAAATCTTACAGGCTCGCTCCCTAATCTGCGTCACGCACGAGCGACTTAGCTACAATTAGTAGAGTAACAAACAGATATTTACATCCGTTGATTTTAAATAAGTCGTATTTTTAAAATATCTTACTCAAAGATGTGCCAGGTTTCCCAGTTAACTTGCTGAGAAAAAAAAGAAAACCTTAATAGTAATTCTAGCTCAGTTAGAATTGATTTTATTTAGTATGAGAAGTTTTGTGCCGTCGAAAACCAATCGGAAGTAACTGTTTCCACGAAAAGAAAATATTGCATCGTTCTCTAAATAAACAAATCTACTTAACCATATAACCAGAGTATGTTGTTGGCGAAGTTAATAGACATACATAACAACGACGTCTTGCTCGTTCTTGAATATTGTCGGTGGGATTTGCTGCGCAGACGAACGCACTTGCTAAGTAACTTCCAATGGCTTATTTCTACCCTTACTCAGCTTTCGTCACACTGCTCACGCTGAGTAACAAGGATATAAAACATCGCACGAAGTCCTAAAAAACTCTCCGGACTTGAACCAGAATTGATTTCAGCAAGATTGCGTGTTTTTAAAAGCCAACGAGTTTATTGGAGATGACTACCCGTACCGTCTCATCGTGTCATTTAAGCATAACCTGACACGATGTCGATAGTTTCGACTCCTGATGGCCGAGAGCACTCGGATTTCTTTTTTACCGAGTACGCCTGTGTCACTTACTGAATAATACATCATTCTCATTTATTCACCAGGCTTAAAAATATTCCATCACATTTATTCCATTGCGCGTATGCCACACATGACATTCCAATCCTAGCAGTATGCAGGATGTTTGTCTCATGAAGCACTCGGATTTTTTTCCGATTATGCCTGTGTCACTTACTGAGTAATACATCATGTTCAAAAGTATTAATTTTTGCACCATACAGGAAGTTGTTTCGGGTCACTCAGCAAGAGCTGTGAAAAGTAGCCGCACTGGAATAGGAATATATTTTTCCAATCCATGAAGATATTTGACCTTTCAAAATAGCTCGTCCCTATGGGCTCAGGTAAATAACAACTAAAAAAAGTACTACCAAGCAGGAACTGTCTCCAATGAGTTTTGTATCCTCTTCATTCTGTTGTCCAATGCGACTATTAAAAACACTATGAGTTTTGCGACTTGCATGTTTTATTGATTGCGCTTGTCAAACAACACTACAGTCTGTCATTGATAGAGAAAATAAAGTTTAATTTTGACAATATTCGATGAAAAATACTAAGAATTTTCCAAAGAGGGCACCGAAGAATAAATAATGTGCACTGTCATTTTTACGACATTTAAAAAGGACCTGCAAAACTCCTTCAAACTGAGACCACGGTAGCAACTTTCCAGGACCCACATTAAATGCCCTCCACGCTCGTATTCCGTTCTCCTTATACTTGAAGTTGTTGAGTAAGCTTACACCATCCCATTTGACGTGCCGAGTGCTTGACGGGTTGAATGTAACGTAACTAGCCTTAGCGCAAGATCCTGGACCAGACTGAATTGTCTGTTGAGCTGAATTGCTGTTGTCACATCACTGCCCTCGTTTACATATCTTCCAATGTCTCCTTTAATAGTCGCTGCTTGGCGGTCGCATATTCCTTTTCCACCTTGAGGATCGGAAAAGTCGTTCCGTTCCACGCCCACGCCAGCAATGTCGACTGCAAATTTTGCTGAAACGATAGTGTATCCGCTGTGGTAACCGCCGGCATTATCTTGTTTATAAAACGCCCTTTCTAATTCCGGCATTTCCTTCTTCAGCGAAACAAGACAATCCTGCATTATCGATACCACTACAGCACTGTCTTGTAAACAGTTCTGAAAGAAATGTACGAATGTTTGAGACTCAAACTGCTCGCCTTCTTCCGACTTCCTAATAGCAACTGTTATGTGCCATGGTAAACCGCGCTTAGCAAACCAGTCTGATTGCGGCTCTCGAAATTTTCGTGGCATAAATTTCATTACCCAATCCTGCACTAGTAACACGTCGCATTTGCTCTTCATTTTAGCTAGAACAGAACATTTGGCCTGATCTTGGTGAACGGAGCGCAACTGGTGGGCTTTCCAGCTCATATTATTTCTGGCCTGCTTAACAGCGTGTAGCATGTCCGATTTCTGCTCCTCGTTACAAACTGCACTTGAACACTCACTTTCCAAGTTGCTTAGAACTTCTTGCAGCTGGCAACACTGTGCACATGTTTCGTTGCGTGAATGACTGCAGTGGCCTTGGAAGTCAGAGTCTGTTGAGTCACTTAAGGCGTAAGTCCTACAATGATCAGCAATGCTCGAAGACTCAACCACATGGACCTGAAACAAGCCGAAGACAACAAAAACGTAAACAATTTCAATCACCGCATTTCCTCCAATAAGCGAACTCTTCTTAAGTAAACCGCCCTTGGAACAAGCGCCCAACCTCTATATTAGGAGCCCCTTCCTGACTCGATCCAGCGCCCGGGCACTTAGCGGAGGAAATACAGTAATTATATCTTCCTGATCTTAACTACTATTTCTATAAAACAATTACATTGAAAAGGCCGACGGTCCCCCTTTGTTTGCAAAATGTATAAATATAACTTACAGGTTATCGACAATAATTCCTTCCTTAGTTACGCACGAGAGGACCTGGAACTAGTTCAAGTATCAATATTATGCATTTTCAAAGATTTGAACTTTAGGAAAATAATTTGCCTGTGTTGTTGCATCAACTTTCTGTCAGTTTTGCGCCTTTCTTTTGAAGTACTTCATAACAAACCGTGTAATAAAATAAATCAAATACCTTGTAGTCACTTTTCAGGTATTGCTTTGATGAGCGTAACTGTTGCTTCATTTCCCTGGCCCACACTTCTGTTTTTCCACAATCAACCAGTTTATCGACCACTTTGTCCAGGTCATCAAATGCTTCTGCTCCTTGAGATGAAAAGTTATCAAGTCCTTGAAAAGACTTCCTAACAGACGCAGAACACTCATCTAGCACTCTATGCAGTGTTCGCCTGCTCATGGGCTCAAAACCTCTTTCACTGCAATATTGTTGGTACTGTTGAACAATACGCTCCGGAATCATCATTCTGATTACATTTGGTGTTTTAATAACCTCACCGGTTGATAACTTCAAAAGCCTTTCGCCAAATGGAACATCTTGAATCACATGTGAACTTGTGATAATTGAAATGAAATCTTCCAATTTTCCTTGGTCAACTTTCATTCTCCTGTTTTCTTGGCGAGGAATCTGTTCTGCTCTTCCATGAAGCAGGGTGTGGTGTCGTGCTATGTCAAAGCGGTAACTTGTCAGGGTTGGGATAAATTCTTGCACCTCTTTGAAAGACAACTTGTCAGCCAGGATTGAGAGTATTTGCCGACGGGTACTCCAGTGTTGAGCGTTCAAATAACTCTCGGCAAACGCTTGAAGAAGCTCCACTTCCTTACAACTTTTCCCGCCAGTTGTTCTTCGATTCACTTCGCGCTCACATAATTCCCTCCACAAGCAATTCGAATCTTCAGGAGCAAGGACTTCCATTACTGCTGAAGCACACTGTTCAGCTTTTCTCAAATAACGGCGTTTAGTACGGCTTTGAGCTACATTCAATGGTACTGATAGTACATGGCGGACTGGGCTGGTGTCACGAAGCTGTAGAAAGCGATTGAGTTGTTTCAGGGATTCACCTTGCACATAGTTTATGTCATCTTCGCTTTCTTGCGAATCTTCGTCTGGCACGTAAAGGCTCTCTCGTTTAGATCTACCTTCTTTGCATTCAGTATCAGTGATCGGTACAGGAAGGGAAATATCAGTGTCAGCTTCATGATCGACCTGTAGTGCGAAAAAGTTAAAATATTTTCTATAAACAATGAACAAAAGATTCGCCCACGATTCGTGAGCCAGTTCGACATTTCTAGTAAAGTTAGTGTTAAAACACCTATGACTTCCTTATATCATTCACGAACCCTGCTTCCGACTCTGGTTACCAAGTTTTCCAGTTAAACTTTAAATTAACGAAATTCTAATTAAGAGCTGTCTAATTTCGGCTGCCATGGACACATATCATAGGACAAGTAATTTAACAGTCCTCGACACATGCTTTTTTAGATTTTAAATGGTGTAATATAACGTATTTAGGTTTTGATGTACAAATTAATTTTCTTACTTCTGCAGATACACAATGGAGAGGGTTGGCCACCCATCCAATCTACATCCTCCTCTCTCCTGCCCCCTCCTTGCAGTGACCAGAAACAACTTCCGGGATGGTGCAAAGATTACCCGTCCTTCGCCAACCTAAATCTAACTTGGCACGATGAACCGGACATATCCGATAAATTCGCCGGCTTTTGAAAACATCCTTATCTCGCCAAAATTAATTCTACCTCCGTTTCAATTCCAGAAAATTTCAACGACTTTTTGTGATTTTTGATATCCCTGTTACACCGCGTGAAAGGCGTGACGGAAGTTGAAGAACTTGTGCGTTCGTCTGCGCCGCAAATCCCACCAACAATATTCAAGAACGAGCAAGACATCGCTGTTCTATGAAGTTCCCCGACAATAAACTCTGGTTTTTAGATGCAATGTTTCACAGATAAAGATAATTCGATTTATTTATTTAAAGAACGATGCAATCTTCGGGAGAACAGGTACTTCTGATTGGCTATCGACGGCATAAAGCTTCTCATTCTTGATAAAATCAATTCTTATCGTTTTAGTTTGAATTGCTATTATGATATTTTCTTTTATTTTTACTTCAGCAAGTTAACTGGGGAACCTGGCACATAGTTGAGTAAGATATTTTAAAATAAGACTTATTGTAAATTAACAGATATAAATATCTGTTTGTTACTGTACTAATTGTAGGGAAGTCACTCGTGCGTGACACAGATTAGGGAGCGGGCCTGTGAGATTTAATTTCAGCTGGTGGTAATTTTGGTGTTTCATAGTTTGTTTTACCTGTGTAGACAATATTTAACATTAATATATATTTTTAAAAGGTTCAAACCGCTAAGAAAGTAAAACCCTCATGTTTTATGTACAAACTTTGGCCGAGGAGTTAATTTATTCAATAGTGCATTGTTATGTAGAGTTGTAGATTTCAAAGGCGCTCAATTGGAATTTTATCGAATTTTGATCGGCGTTCATGCAAAAGTGCTACTAGATCCTAAAGATTTAAAACCATAGACCTAAAAATCAATGACTGAACTGTCTTTGGTTATAATATCAGAGGATTTGAAGAACTACCGGTCAGCTTTTTTCGTCGCTGAGTTTGGATTATTTTACACCTTCGCGTAAATGAGAAATGTGTGTCTTCTTAATCGGGTCTCAGTTCGCTCACAAATAAGCAGAGATAAAAATAATTCCCCTGGTTTGACTAAGGAAGAATCAATGTATTCAATTATACTTAAGAAAGATTCACAGCTATGTAAACGTCTGTGTAGCGAGAAGCTGAAAAGTGTAAAATTTCGAGTTTCCGCTAGGTGAAATCCGAGCTTCCGGTAGGGTGACCGTTTTTCGTGGTTTTCTGCCGTTATATGAAATATTTCAAAAAACTAACCTCATATCCTTCAGTTACTTACCTTAGCCTTCAAACTGACAAAGTATGAGCGAAATCGATTTTTTGACCGTGGCCACGACTTCTTTGATTTTTACTGACAATCACTCTTAAATCTTTAGCAGGCAAATACGATCGCGAGACATTCTTTTTTTATTTGTGCATATCATCTCAGTAGGTGAAAGTGTTTACGATGAAAATGCCCTAAGGCTTCCCTTCTGCAGAATTGAAGCTCCTAGTCCCCTCTCACTGGCATTACACTTTATGGTAACTTCTTTGCATTCGTAATGTGTGAGAACAGGGTGGTTAACAACTAGTTTCTTTACTTCTGTGAAAGTTTTGTCATGCTACTTTACCCAGCTGAACTTGGCATCTTTGGTTGTTAGCTCCCTCAGGGGTTGCACAACCTCTGAAAGTCTTGGTAAGAACTTCAAAAGGTAATTGACAAACCCAAGTAGGGTGAGTATTTCTTGCTTGCATGTCAGCTAAGGCATCTCCTCAACAGGTTTTGCTTTGTCTGGGTCAGGTCTCAGGCCATCCTTGCCCACTATGTGGCCCATGAACTTTACTTTGGACTTCTTGACCTTCATCTTACTGTTGAGGCGAAGATTGACCCTTACGTGCTCTTTCTAGTAATTTGATCATATTCTCATCATGATTTCTAGGAGCTTGCTCTTGAGTTTCACCAAACCTCATGACTAAGATGTCATCTCTGATAACTTCAACTCCTTCAAGGTCTGTTAGCTTCTCTTGAAGATTTCTCTTAAACGTCAGGAGCTAGACTGATTTCAGAGGGCATTCCGAGAAAACGATAGCAACCGAAATGGGTCCAGAACGTTGTCAATTTGCTGCTGGCTTCGTCAAGGCTGATTTAATAGAAACCATCTTAAGCATCTAGTGTACGAAATACTTTGGCCTTTCATAGTTTTGGCAACAGTTCTTCATGAGTAGGCATTTGATACCTTGGATGTTGGATGACTTTGTTAAGCTCTCGAGGGTCTAGACAGGTCTGAATTTTTCCAGGTTTGGCCACCACCACCATGTTACTAATCCACTCTGTTGGCACTTTTTCTTTCTTAATTATTCCTTTTGTTTCTAGATCGGCAAGCTTGGCTTTTATGTTATTTCTGAGGGCTACTGGTATCCACCTTAAAGTGTACTGAACATGCACTGCTGTTCGGTCGACTGTGTCTGAGTCACTGAAAGACATGTCTGTAATCTGTAATGCAGTATACTGTGTGTAATTAGGAATGTGCTTCTCATGTAGGCTTAGAACTTCGGGTTGGGATCTTCCAGAAGATTGACTTCTCTTTTCTTTCTTGCCATACAGACAGAGGCGAAATGATGCCATTTTTGACAAAATTTGCATTTTTGATTGTACCCTAGACAATCCTTTCTTTTGGTGTGATGCTGTTGTTTGCCACAGAACTTACACTTTTCATTTTCATAATGTTTCTTCTTCTTTGGAGTTTCCTCTCCCTTCTTTCCTTTTCTGTCTTTGGCACTTGACTGCCTCCTGAATCCTTACCTTTTACTTTCTTTACTGCGTTATTTCTTCCTTAGTTGGTTCACTGTCGGCTTTCATGGACACCATCTGCAGACTGGTAATTTCATCAGAGCAGGCAATGTCGAGAGCTTTATCAAGTGTGAGGGATTTCTCTGGTAGAAGCTTCCTTTTTGTACCTTTATCAACGAGGCCAATGAGTAATCTATCGCGGATTCATTCATCATTAAAAAATCCAAATTCACGTTATAACATATTTCCAGAGACGAGTGACGAAGCTGTCAATGGACTCTCCTGAATTTTGCTCCCATGAATTGAAAATATACCGCTCGTAAACAAAGTTGCGTTTTGGTTTGAGGTAATTTTCCAATGTTGATTTCGCATACAATCAACAACTTTCTAAACGACTCGTCACAAGATGAAAACTTAATTCCGAATTTTCTCTTCGAAGAACGAAAGAAAGTTTTCATCAAGCTTCCTTTTTGCGGTAAAAACGAAAAACTCAGTAAGACGTTTATTGAAAAACTAAACAAGTTTACTATTTTCAATTTCATCTTTATAATCCTGTGGCAAACAAGGCAAATCAAAAGCTTCTTTAACAAAAAAGACAAAAACACTCACAGATCCAAAGTTGTTTACAAAGGTGATTGCTCTTGTGGCGTTGATTATATTGGCGAGACTGTGAGAAACTTAGCAGTACGAATTGCGGAGCATTCAAATCCTGCTCACACCGCACCTGCGGGAAAACCCATCACATTCTTTCACTTGGCGTGTTCTCTCCTCAGCACAAACATTCCACAAGCGTAGGATCGTCGAGGGACTAATGATCCAACAATTCCGCCCCAGTTTGAACAAACAAGTTATTTCTTATGTCTCCAAACTTTTCCCATCGGGAATTACATAAGATATATATGTACGTGTGGACGGTCATCTTTTTAACCCTGATGATGGCAAACAGCCGAAAACGTTTGGTTTAAGCATTTTAATTTTTTTAACCTTTTAGCCTTGTATATAGAATACATGGTTAAATTTAATTTGATCAAAAACATGATGGGCATTAGAGGAAATTAGCTAGTACAATTCAAGTTTCCCTTTTTAAGTATTCTGTGAAGTTTTTTCTGTCATATGGTAAAGTTTCTATGGTCTTCTACTCTTCTACCTGGGAGGGTACCTTGTGTACATAAACATTGAAGTTGAATGCCTTTGATAACTGTTTTGGCTACAAAGATCAACAAAGAACAACAGCCGCACCAAAAAAATAATTTTAAAGTCACCTCTTCAATGGTAGGTACACACAACTGACATGTATGAGTAAAGCATGTCAAGAACTAAGGTATGATTGTCAATTTGCTTTTCATTACAGGCAAACAGCTTATTTCTAGCAGCTTTGAAAACTTCTGTATCCCCTCTTTGAAATAAAAGTATTTCCCATGAAAAGTTAAACATTAAAGACATAAGCCACAAGTGACAGGTTTTTCCACTGGTAGTGTTTCACACTATCTCATTCTCATCACATTTTTTTTAGTACATTTGAAAGCATCATAATATTTTAATCATTACAATAATGAAATCTCCCATTTTAACCCTTTAAGTCCAACTAGTGACCTAGACAGAATTTCTCCCAACACTATCAGTACAATATCAAGCATACAAGTAATGAGAATAATGAAAAATATCAATTAGGGGATTATTAGTTGGTCCAGTTCCAAATTCTCCAAACTAACATCACATAAATTGTGTGGCAGACAGTAAGGAGAATTACTGATAAAATCTTAGAAGTTTAAAGGGTTAAGGCACATATGGTAATCATATACCGTATTTATTCAATTGAGTGCCCAGGGTGCTTACTTAATTTTTGGACTTTCAGGGTGGGCGCTTATTCGAGGCTGGGCACTTATTAAATTTTCACCATTTTCAGTAAGTAAAAAGTTTATTTTGTAACAAAACAATAAATAAAAACAAAACATGACAAAATATTGAAGCATATAAATTGTAACTGTTCATTGTTCAGGTTATGCCCAGGACTAACAACTCATAGTTCGGTCTTCGCAGAAGTCTCTTTTGCTATCATAATTCTCAATCAACTTCAATGTCATCGCTGCTCAGCTCAATGAGTGAACTTTTATGGTGCTGCCTCCTCGACATCCGACAGTGTAACGTCAGCAAATGGGTCGGTTGCGCGAGAAGCTTCTAGGGCTTGCTGGATGGATGCCAGGCGATCTTCTCCAGCATGACAAGGTTGACCCTCCTATAGGCAATGGATCTGATCCTCTTCAGA